GACCGTGGGGGAGGAAGGCAGGGACGCGGCAGCGCGGGGGGAACAGGTAGGGAGCAGGGGGAGAGGAGAGCAGGCAGGGAGTGGGGGGAGCAGGAAAGGAGCGGGAGGGGGTGCGGGCAGGCGGTGGGGGGCGGGCAGGCGAACAGGGCCGCCCCCGGCCCCACGTGGCTCGGGGGACACGCGGGTTTATAAAGCGTCCCCGGCCCCGCGCGGGTGCGGGAGTGGCGGCGGCGGCACCGGGCGGGAGCGGGGCTCGAACCGGGTGCTTCCCGGGAGCCCCGGCGGGGCTACGGCCACCCGCGGGCCATGGAGCTGCCCACGGATGTGCCCGTGGATGTGGCCATGGAGCTGAGCACGGTGCTGCCCTCGGTGCTGCCCTCCGTGCTGCCCCCCACCCCCTGGGGCAACGGCACCGCCTGGGACCCCCTGCCCGGGCACGGGGGCAACGAGACGGGCCCGCAGAGGGCCAAGAACGCCACGTCCATCCTGATCGCCATCGTCATCACCGCGCTCTACTCCGTGGTGTGCGTGGTGGGGCTGCTGGGCAACGTCCTGGTCATGTACGGCATCGTCAGGTGAGAGCGGGGCACGGGGGGCGGGTGGGCACGGGGGTGAGAGGGCAGCACGAGCGAGGTGTGAGAGGGCAAGAGGGGTGGGTGCGCACCGAGTGTGAGACAGCAGCAGGAGTGAGCGTGTGCCACGTGTGAACCAGCGGCGAGGTGAGGGTGCACGAGGGAGGAGTGCGAGTGTGGGGGATGTGAATCTGAGTGAGTGTGCCCGGGGTGTGAATCTGAGCGTGCCCGGGGTGTGAGCCAGCGGCAGGAGGAGGGAGGGTGGGCGTGCACCGGGTGCTTCTGAGCAGGCTGCACCGAGATGGGTGTGACACGTGTGTGCACGGCGTGTGTGTCCAAGCACGTGTGTGTGTGTGAGGAGGGGGTCCAGGTGATGTGCGAGGGGTAAAAGCAGAGGCTGTGTGGGCAGGGAGCAGCTCGGGGGAGGGGGAGGAGAGGCAAGGGAGCCGCGTTTGGGGGGACGGCCCGACCCCAGCAGTGCTGAGTGTCCCCTCGCCCTGTGTGAGGGAGAGGAGCCGCAGGGCTGGGCACGCTGGGGGGTTGGGAGCTGCTGTGTTCACAGATATCCCCCCCACTCCCGGGGCAGAGGGGCTGGTGGGTTCCCACTGGCATCACCCCACTCCATGAGAGGGAATTACCCATCCAGCCCCATTCCCAGCTCCTGCTCCTGCTGGCGGCTCCCGCAGCCGCCCGACTCCTGCTTTGCTCTAACAAAGAGCCGGAGCCGCGTGGCCCGGCCCCATCTCCCACCTCCCACCTCCCATCACGGCCTGAGCTCCCCAGCGGGGGGGTAACAGCTCCAGCGGCAGAGAGACCCCCTCCTGTCCCAGGGCAACCCAACCCCTCCTTTGGCTCCATTCAGGACCTTGGCACCTTTGTTGAAGGTTTCCCTGGGCAGGGAGGGGGGCTGAGGGGTTTCTGTACCCCAGGAGAAGCAACAGGACCCCAATACCCCCCATGTTCAAGATGGGGCACTGCTGTGTGCAGCCTGGCACTTGTGCTGAGGTACAAAACCCCCTGTCAGCCCCTTTGTCCGAGGCACTGGTCGGTCCTGCCTGAACAAGATGGAATATGGGACAATAAAGCCAAGTCTTGCAGAGCACAGGACCAGCACCAGCAGTTGGGGGGGGGGAGGGGGCTGGCAGAGCCCACTCCATGGCCCCCAGACCCTGCTGGCAGTGAAGGATGGGGCTGTGCTCACTGTCACACTGCTGTCACCCTCTGCACTGGCACAGACTCCTGCACCTCCAGCCTGGCAGGAGGGAGCACAAGGGTCTCACTGGGTGCTGGCCTTTGCTCCCCCCACACACACACACTGGAGGGGTCTTTTCCTGGGCTCCAGGATTTGTGGGTTTAACCCCAATTCCCATCACCTCAGGGACTGTTGTAACCCCAGCCTGGCCAAAACCCCAGGGGCCAAACCAGAGCTGGTGGCTCCATGTAAGCAACCCTGCCAAATCCCCATTTTTTAACCCTTTCCACGCCCCTTTTCCCATCCCTGTCAGTCCACAGCGATGGTTACAGGAGGTCAGCACTGCCTGTGCAGGGATAAATGTGGTGACTCAGCGGAGGGGAGGAAATGAGCCTGAAACGTGTCCATGAGCCACTCCGAGCTGCCCATCACCCTCGTGTGATCCCCCCCACCCCAGCCCCAGCTCCCCACACCTTTGAGTTGTGCTTTCAACCATCCCGTGGGGTGGGTGATGGGGACAGGGCTTGGGGTGTCACTCCCTGACCTGACCTGACACCCAACAGGATTTTTCAGTCGCTCGAAGCAGAGTTAAAAATGAGCCCCGGCCTGAAAAAGCAAATTGAGGTAATTGCGGCAGAGTCAGAGCCACGAGCGGTGTCAGGGTGAGGGATGAGTGTTATTAGACCCCCTCCAGCTGGTTCTGCTCGGCAGGGAGAGAGGGGAGGGCGTTTTAAAGAGAGCAGTGTCACATACAAACAGCATCTTCCCTGTTTTACTCACTGAGTAACCTCACCTTAACCAGGCTTTAGCAGGCCTGACTCTCCAGATCCACAGATCCCATCACTGTGGCTTCCAGCCCCCCATTTCCCACCTGATTCTGGAATTAAACACAGAATCGTAGAATTGTGGAATGGTTTGGGTTGGAAGGGACTTTAAGACCATCTCGTTCCACCCCCTGCCACTGGCAGGGACACCTTCCACTATCCCAGGTTGCTCCAAGCCCTGTCCAGCTCAGCTTTGAACATTTCCAGGCATGGGGAACATCACCCATAGAATGAATAAGCACCGTCCTCTGAGCTCCTGGGTCAGGAGTGGCTGTGGTGATGTGCCCTCATCCTTCCCGTGGCCAAACCTGCCAGGAGTCTCCCGGGGTTCCTTGGCTTTTAGCAGCTCCAGGAGTTTTTTCTTTCGCTTATTATTCACTTTTTCTTTCGCTTATTTATTTTCCGAGAGGTTTGGAGAGGATGGGGGGGCCCCTACTTGGGAGTCCAGCCTGGAATGCAGAGCTGCCCTGTGCTTGTTCCATCCCCTCCCTCCCCTCCTCTCCATCAACACCTCCCAGATTGTTCCGTTCAAGTGCGTAACTTCCCAATCAAGGCGCTCGCTTAATTACGAAGGGTTTGGCAGCCTGGGGAGCTCCATCAGCAGCAGAGGATGGTTCTCTCTAATGGGGGCAAGAAACCTCTTTCCTGCAGCAGCAGCTTCCTTTGCAGCTCGGAGGGGGGGGTCACCAGGATGGACCCCCCACCTGGTGCAGGGGGCTGAATCCTGCCCCAAAACCCCTGTGCTGAGGGCTAAGGTGTCATCCCCATCATCCCAGGCAATCCCATCACCATCCCAGTTATCCCCATCATCATCCCAGTCATCCCCATCATCATCCCAGTCATCCCCATCACCGTTTTACCCTCACCAGCCCCATCCCGCCCGGGGAGGGGTCAAAACCCTCAGCCCCTCCTGTCCCCCACCCCTGGCACATCTGGCAGGGTTTGGGAAGTGCTTACCCAGCACATCTGGCAGAGCACAGAATGAATAACTGATTTTTTTTTTTTTGCCCCATTTTACTCAAAACCCCAGAGCCCAGGGATGTGTGAATGCACCTGAACCGCCTGTTTGTTCGCAGGGGGAGGTAAAGCCTGACAATACCACAAATTCTCAGCTTGTTTTTTGTTGTTGTTGTTGTTGTTGTTTAACCTGAAAAGAAACTTTTCCAAGAGATGCATTTGCAAAAGCGCCCGGAAAATAACGCTAAAGAGAACTGAAAAGGGCTTTTCAAGGGCAAGACATTTTTTAATGCCGTATTTAAAATGAATAAAACAGAACCAAAAAAAAAAAAAAAACCAACAAAAGCTCAACTCGAATATTTCCACCCTTGGGCAAGGGGCTGCCATTTGCAGCCACGGTGAAGGAGACAAGGAACGCTGTTGGAGCTGGGATGAGCTGCTGTTTTCTTTTTTTTTTTTTTTTTTCACAGAGAGAAATGGGGTTTTTTCAGCCTCCAGCTCCTGGTTCTGCTGGCAGCAGGACCTGGTGGGTCTCTGTCCCCACTGACACGCTCTCCTGACCTGCTGAGATGCAGAAAGGACAAAGGGAAGGGGTTGGGCATCAGCACCACCAATCCCAGCCCAATTTCCATCTCTCTTGTGGGTTCCCTTCAGGGACTGGAAGGCCACAATTAGGTCACCCCAAAACTTCTCCTCTTTCCTACAGCAGCCTGCTCTCCTGGGTTGCAGTCAGGGCAGCATCACCTGAGATGAGAACTCCAAGGAAAACCATCTTTTGATCCAGCAGCCAAGGGTTCTCTCTCCCTGCCCCCTGCCCCACGCCAGCCATGCCACAGGCAGGTTTAGCCATGCACAGAGATGCTCGTGTGCAAACCCTGTTGTTAATTAATTAGGGTGCATCCAAACGAGCTCGGGGCTGCTGAGGATGCTCAGAGAGCTATGAGGATTTGCTGCAAGGGAGCACAGGGAAGGGCTGGAGCTGCTGGTGTAGCCCTGCCCTTAACACAGCAAAGAGCCACAGAGCTGCCCCCACCCAACCCCAACGCGCTGCCCTTTGGGGACCCCCAGCAGACCCCTCAGCGTCCACTTCCAACCCACCACAACACTCAGAGCATCCTCTCGAGCAACTCCTGTGGGGGCTGGATGCTCCCAGGATGCACACACACACATCCCTGCCGCCCTGGCATCCACCAAAACTTTGCCTCATCCCTTCAGGAACAGTTTGGGAACGCAGGACCAGGCGTTTCTCTTGCCATGATGTGACAAGTACCAGACCCAGCCTTTGCCAAATGCCCCGGGAAAATGAGCCAGGCTTCCCCAAAGGCTCTGGAGCTCCAGGCTGGCTAATTGGGCTGCTTCCAGATGGCCTGTTTCCGGGGGAAATCGATCCAATTTCTGCAAGTAAACTTGACAGGGAAGCAGGCTGGATAATCATGAGTTACTGGGTGGAAAATCAGATGGAGGAGGGTTGGGAGGATAAAGGACGTGGTGCAACTGAGTCAGGGAGATGGGGTAAGTTGATCTCATTGGAGAATTGACTTCTCTGGAAAGTTCTTCATTCTTTTGAATAAAGGCAGGCATGGACTGAGTGCCACCTCCCTGGACACGGGATGACCACTGTGGCAGGGGCCAAGCCCCCTCCAACCTGGCCTTGGACATTTCCAGGGATCCAGGGGCAGCCACAGCTTCTCTGGGCAACCTGTGCCAGGGCCTGCCCACCCTCATTGGGAAGAATTTATCCCATCTAACCCTGCCCTCTGGCAGTGTGAAGCCATTCCCTGTGCCCTGTCACTCCAGGCCCTTGTAAATAATCTCTCTCCTGTAAATAGTCCCTCTCCATCTTTCCTGTCACCTCGTTCAGGCACTGGAAGGCCGCAGTTAGGTCACCCTGGAGCCTTCTCTTTATCCAGGCTGAACAATCCCACTTCTCTCACAGCTCAATGTCCTTCCTCAGTGTGCTCCCTGGGGCACCTGGAAGGGCCCTGACCCCCCCCTGTGACCTCTCCCTTCCCCAGGTACACCAAGATGAAGACGGCCACCAACATCTACATCTTCAACCTGGCGCTGGCCGACGCATTGGCCACCAGCACGCTGCCCTTCCAGAGCGCCAAGTACCTCATGGAGACCTGGCCCTTCGGGGAGCTGCTCTGCAAGGTCGTGCTCTCCATTGACTACTACAACATGTTCACCAGCATCTTCACCCTCACCATGATGAGCGTGGACCGCTACGTCGCCGTGTGCCACCCGGTCAAGGCCCTGGACTTCCGCACGCCGGCCAAGGCCAAGATCATCAACGTCTGCATCTGGGTGCTCTCCTCCCTCATCGGGGTGCCCATCATGATCATGGCGGTCACCAAGTCAAAAGGCAAGCGGCTTTTTTGGGGGGATGTGTCCCCTCCTGTCCTATCTGTGCGTCCCAGGAGTGACCCAGAGACCTTGGCAGGTTTGGGGTCAGCGGTGGGCACCTCTCCGTGGGTCCATAAATGTGCCCTGTCGTGGAAAAGGCATCATGGTGCTGTTTTTCCATCTCGGAAACTGTCCCAGAAATTGTTTGCCCTTCCCCTTAGGGCTGGGACACCACACCCTTCCCCATCTCCAGCCCAACCAGTGCCCCTGGCCCTCTCCTGGGGTGCAGATTGGTTAGAGCGTGGTGCTGATGATGCCAACCACTGAACCAAGGGTTCAACCTTGTGCTGGCCATTCACTTAAGGGTTGATGATCTTCGTGGATCCCTTCCAACTCAGAATATTCTATAAGTATCTGAAATCAGTTCCTAAGAACACCCCTGGTGGTGCTGCAAAGTCCCCAGCTGGCCCACGCTGAGATCTGCAGTTCCTGTGTGGGGACAGCAGCCCTTGGCTGCTGGGAAAGCTCTGGGCATCCCAGGGAAGTGGAGGGGGACATGGTGGATGTGCCCACCACAGGGGTTGGGAGGAGGAGGTGTGGGGGTGGCCCAGGAGGCTCTGCAGGGATCAGGTCACTGCACCCACTGTATCCCCTCAAGCACCCTGCGGGCTGGTGGCTCTGGGGAGCCTCTGCCAAGAGCTGGCAGGTGGGAACGCATCTTCCTGAGGTTTCAACGTGCACAGACGTGCCCAGCCATGACCAGAAGGCCGGGTATCCACAGCAGAACCCCCCCTGCCCCCAGCTCCCTCTGTGACCCTCCTCTCTCCCACAGACGGGATGGTGCTGTGCACCCTGCAGTTCCCCGACCCTCCCATCTACTGGGACACCGTCACCAAGATCTGCGTCTTCATCTTCGCCTTCCTGGTGCCCATCCTGGTCATCACCATCTGCTACGGGCTGATGATCCTGCGCCTGAAGAGCGTCCGCCTCCTGTCGGGCTCCAAGGAGAAGGACCGGAACCTGCGGCGCATCACGCGCATGGTGCTGGTGGTGGTGGCCGCCTTCATCATCTGCTGGACCCCCATCCACATCTTCGTCATCGTCTGGACGCTGGTGGACATCGACAAGAAGAACCCCTACGTGGTGGCCAGCCTGCACTTCTGCATCGCCCTGGGCTACACCAACAGCAGCCTCAACCCCGTCCTCTACGCCTTCCTGGACGAGAACTTCAAGCGGTGCTTCCGGGAGTTCTGCCTGCCCTTCCGAGCCCGCGTGGACCAGAACAGCTTCTCCCGCGCCCGGAACACCACGAGGGAGCAGGTGTCCACCTGCACCCCCTCGGAAGCCCCCAACAAGCCGGCATGACTAGGCGTGGGCAGCCCCCAGCGGGGCTGCCGGGGACGCGGAGGGGACGACCTGCGCTCGGAGGTCACCCAGGTCACCACCACGGAGTTCTGAGCAGGGCGGTGGCACCGCCGGGGGACGCCCCGGGGGTTGTGCCCGCGGTGACTGCAGAGACTTTGGTTGCCCCAAAGAAGCGGGATGGGACAAGAGGCAACCTGGGCAGAGCTGCTCTGCTGCTGCTCCCACCCCGGCAGAGGCCACCCAGCGAGGGCTGTCACCCTCCCAAACGTGGCTCTCTGCAGAGCCCAGGACACCAGGACTGCAGTGCCCGTGTGCTTCTCCTCCTGCACGGGCCAAGGTGGCACCACGGCCCATGGCAAGAGGGGAAACCCTCCCATGGGGGGAACTGTGCCAGGGGGTGATTGTTGGACCATGGAATCGTTCAGGTTGGAAAAGCCCTCTGACCCATGGCCACCAAGGCCACCACTGACCCATGTCCCTGAGTGCCACATCCACATGGTTTTAAATCCCTGCAGGGATGGGGACTCCACCACTGCCCTGGGCAGCTGTGCCAGGGCTGGACAGCCCTTTCAGTGAAGAAACATTTCCTACTATCCAACCTAAAGCTCTCCTGGCACGACTTGAGGCTGTTTCCTCCACCAGATCATGGGACCTCAATCCATCCCCCTCTGAGCTGTGTCCGAGAAACCACCAGAGCTGGGAAGAGAAAACGATGTTGCTTCAGAGACTGTAATCAAAGAGCTCCAAATCCACACCTGGAGTCCTTCAATCTGGGACTGCTCCCAGAGAAGAACTTTCTACCACTGATGTCAATACTCTGTTATTTAGAGACCTCTGACTGCAGCCAGGGCAGCCCCTGGACATGGGTGTGATGCTGGGAATAGGGATGCAGCCAGGGCACACCTGAAGCTGACCCTGTACCCATGTGCCAATGCCAAATTCCCCGTGCCCTGCATCCATCAGGGTGACAGGGAGCTGATGAAGACATTAAGCCCGAAAAGAACCTCATCAAGGGAGTAATTTGTGGGCACTCGAGTTGTTTCTCGCAGTGCTAAAGCAGTTAGGATGGAACAATGGGCAGTGCCAAGGGCTCTGCCTTCCCTGCCCATCAGGAGAAGGATGAGCAACAGCACTGCCCAGATTTCCAGAGCAAAGCCAAAAAGGATGGGATGGGGCTGTGCTGTTTTTCTTTTTTTAAGGAGAAGATGAAAAAACTATTCCCTTTCTTTCACAATTCCCCAAGCAGGGACAGAGGCTGTGCAGGCACTGAGCAAGGACCCACAGCCTGCAAGAGGCAGAGATTTGGGGGTTTCAGCTCTCATCTGGATGGAGCAGCATTCCCCTAAAGGCATGGCTGAGCTCCAGCTCCCACCACATCCTGCAGGATCCCCATCACCTGCAGCTGAACGATGACTGATGGGTCCTCCCCCTCCCCGAATCTCCCCATCAGCCCCGTGCCACATCCCTGAGCTGCTGCTTGTCCTTGTTGTCCCCTTGCCACCGTCATTGCCAGGCGGTCAGACAGCCAGGGGAGGAAGAGGGGGGTGCTTGGAGGAAGCAGGAATAGCAGTGAGTGCACAAATTGGTGCAGCTGGAGGAAGCAGACGAGCGCTGGGGGCACCTGGGGCTCACGGGTTGGAGGCAGAGCCTTGCCTTGTGTCTGGTTTCTCCAGTTGCGTCAATTTAGTCTTAATAACGGCCATTACCTCTCCTCAGCAGCCCCACCTTTCTCCAGAGCCTGTGGAAATTACAGCCTTCCCTGTTAGGAAGACACGAGGCAGCCAAAGCCAATTTCTGTTTCAAAGGAATCAAATAGGGGGAAATCGCCCATTTGGGTCTCAAATCAATTGTGCCGGAGGATCCTCCTCCTCTGCCTGCACCGGATCAACCTGCCACAGGCAAAAGCCTCTTGCTCAGTGTTACATCCAGCTGGACATCTGCAGCTCGTGCCCAGGGCTCCTCAGGATCCCTCTGCAGGCACGGAAGGAGTCCTGGATCGCTGGCTTGGGTTCCTCATCCTCTGCTGCCACAACTCGTGGAGCACCGGGTGAGGGAAGGCAGGGTGGGCTCCAGGGCAGGAACTGGGGGGGAACCCCCTGGATCACACAAGGCTGAGCTTCAGCTCCTTGAGAAGAGAGGCTGAAGTGTCCAGAATGTTGGAGACCATCCTTTAGCCATCCACACCCACCCCCACCCAGGGCAGAACCCTCAGTAGCCTGTGGTGGGAAAGGTTTGCAGCTGGTTGATGGCGAGGACCTGGCCACGGTGGGATTTTGGGATGAACCACCAGGCTGGATGCTGTGGAGTGGGACATCTTGGGGGTTCTCTCCTGGCTTGAGCACGAAGCTGAATTCCAGCTTGATATCTCAGTTTGGGAGGGGGGCACCCCCAAATCGGTGATCTCTTCAACCTGCCAGTGCCTCAGCGTTCCCTAAAATCCAACCCTGTGATCAAGGCTGGGAATGGCACGATGGAGAGCAGCTCTTCCCACCGCAGGGAAGGAACAGGGAGACAGGGAAGGTGAGCCCCACCATCAGGGATGGGGCCTCTCTGCCCTGGTGCAGCCCCTCCGAGGACGTGTCATTGTACTGGGGGGCACGAGCAAGTCCCCCTCGAGTGCTGGGGCCCCTGGGCTGCCCTGAGGCTCCACAGGCAGCTCAGCCCCCCCATTTCCCATCCCCACGGGGCCTTTTTTCCATCTGCCGAATTCCCAGCCTGCTGGGACACGTGCCTGCCGTGGCCTTAAAGCGGGTTAAGAGGCTCCAAGTCATTACTTTTTAAAATGCCACCAGTGCTTGGGCAGAGCTCTGAGCCCAGCGAGGAAACGTGGCTTTCCCGAGCTCCAGCTTTGCTGACTGACAGAATATTCCCGGGAAAAAGGGGGACACGGGCGGAGAGCACCGCCCTGGAGCACGTGGGGGTGGCACAAGGACCTTGAGCATCCCATTCTGGCAGCAGCCCAGCAGGGATCTTGGGGGCTGATCCAGCTTCTCCCCTCCCAAAAATGCAGCTACCCCAGCCCCTCGTTGGGGTTGGGAAAGTGAGGGTGAATCCTGACCCCGGGAAACACCACTGGGATGCTTGGAGGGAGCTCTGTGTGTTCTTATATAAATATATCTCTATGTATATGTGTCTATAGGTGTATGAAGTCAAAGTGACCCCAAAGGCCCCCCCTCCCACCCCCTGCTACAGCAGCTGCCCCATGTGTGGTGGAGCTGAATCCACCATGCCCACAGCACCTCACCAAGTGCTTCAGCCACTATTTCCAGCTCCAGCCCTCGGGATTTTGGGCCTTTTCGGTGGCAATTCTGTATAGGAACCCTGCTTTCTAAAAAATAAAATAATAAAGCAAAATGAAATCGGAGAGAGGACGCATTTTCCGGCTCTCCTGCAGCTCTTGGGCATCGAAAATGAGCGGGGTCTGGCTCAGGGGGGTGTTTTGGGGAGTGGTGGGAGAGGAAACACCCTCTAAATTTACTCTTTACTCTTCCCCGTGAGGGGGGGGAGGCCCTGGAATGGATTTGCTGGAGAAGCTGTGGCTGCCCCTGGATCCCTGGAAGTGTCCAAGGCCAGGTTGGACGGGGCTTGGAGCAACCTGGGCTAGTGGGAGGTGTCCCTGCCCGTGGCAGGGGTGGAATGAAATGATCTCTAAGGTCCCTTCCAACCCAAACTGTTCCATGATTCTAAATTCAAGTTCTAAAAGCTTATCTGGACTTAAAAAAACTCACCTTTGTGAAACCCTGAGGCCCTTTAGTTGAAGTTATTTCCAAGCCTTGGTAATAAAAAGCCTCTGCTGCCGCTGGTCATCAAGATACAATTTTATTTTAAGAGCCCAGCAGCTTGAATTCTGGTCCAAATTACATTTTTTGCAATTTAAATGCAAATGAGGGTTTAGTGAAAAAAAAACCAACAAAAAACAACAGAAATGGGTGTTGGAGCCTGAAACTCCTCTTGGGCTTACTGAGACTTTGCATTTTAAGGCATTTCTTACTTCTGTTTGTGAGTTCCCAGGGCAGTGGGTGTGTGAAACCCAGAATTCCAGCCTGGGGGTGGTGGAGCAACTCTCCAGGACCCCTCTCCATCTCCCAGCTCCCTGGGAAACGGGAGCCAGGCCCCGACTCCAGCGATTTCACAGCCCAGTTAAACCAGCAGCTGAATAATGCAGCGACCTGTGCCGGCACACGGGAGCTGCCACACACCTACCAGCTATTTCCAGGGACTCCTTCAGCCCTAAATCACGTTTCCCACTGCAGAAAAAGTCCTTTTCCCCTTTTTTTCCCTTTACTTAATCCGCCTAACAATGAGCCCTGATGTCTCAGGCTTTATTTTTACACGTGTGATTAATTAGGATGACGCCGGTTCCTTTGTCTGCAGGTTTAGGCTGACTTGAGGATGGAATTAATAATGCAGATGGCAATGAGGGGATTTGGCTTTCCTGGGGAGGGCAGGGGTGAGATCTCCCACCCTCCTCGCTCTGGAGCAGCCAGGGGTGCATCCAGGCTCTCAGCCCCGCAGGGATGCTTGTCTTGCAATTCATCATTTAGGAGGGGGGAAAAAACCACAACATTATAAATAATTCCTAGAGGCTTTTTTCTCTCCTGTCAGAGTTACAAATTCTCTTGATTTGTGCTTTATTTTTTATTCCCTGAGCAAACGGGGTGGGGAGGAAGGGAAGGGGGAGCACTGAGGCTCCTCTGAGCAGCGATGGAGCCACATCCCATTCCCTCAGCTCCAAAGGGATGTCCTGAGCCGGGTGAAAAGTTTTCCTTCTTTTTGCCCTGTTGTTACAGGAGATGAACCAGGACTTGAACAGTTTTGGGAGAGGGGCAGAGACACCCACACGTCACTCATTTCAGCCCAATTCCCGTCCCCGAAACACCCAACACACTCCTCTACCAGGAACCACACCAGATCATTACATATTCCCGTTATCCTGGGGTGTACTGGCCAGATTCCAGCCTTAATGACGGGATTCAAGGAGGTGACACAGCCCAGTGCAAGGACCAAACTCTCTCTGCCGCTTGCAGACCCATCATTAAACCCCGACAACAGGCAGCTTGGCCATAATTAAAGCTCGTTTCCTCTTCCAGGCAGGAAAGGGATAACAAGAAAACAACCTAGTGTCCTCCAAACCCTCCTGAAGATGCAATTCCCTCCTGGCAGATCCTGCAGCACCACTGCATAGGTAGAGTTTTGCATCCAAAACAGCAACGTGTTAAAAAACACAAACAAAAAAATCCCCCACAAGCCCCTCAAACAACACCCGAAGTGCTTTTATTCTGGGGTCAGAAGAGCCCCACACTGCCAGGGCTGATCCTCTGAGGAGGCTAAAGCCCCCAGATTCCACTTTCCCAGCTTTTGTCTGTAAATTAAAAGCCTTTTATGCACTTCCAATAGCAACAGATGGGGACTGGGAGTGCAGGGCTGGAGATGCTGACAGGGACTGCCTGGCAATGAGGAAGGGTCTGGAAGGGTGGAAAACCTCCACCATGGACCGAGGCCGGATCCTGACACAGCCAGGGGTCCCCCCAAACCCTCCCCCAGGACCCAAATTCCTCCTCCTCATCCCCAAAACGCCCTCGATTCACTCAGTGAGCGCAAAACCTCATTAATGAGACATTTCCCTTTCCTCAATTAAGTTGTTTTCCTTCACCTCCCCTCTCCCCCCGCTGCGTGGGGGCTCATCCTTCCCCCAGTTTCCAGCAGCTTCCCACTGAAGTGTCACTCTGGCTCCCAAGACAACGGTGGCTGATTCATCAGCTCCGAATATTTTAAATCCTATTGTTCTCTCCAGCCCTTCTTTCCCTCTTGGTTTCATGACAATACCAATGGGCTCCCCATTCACAAGGGGATGTTTTCCCTCCCTCAAAAAAAAAGGAGATTGCCCAAAGCTGGGGGATGGACACAAAACCCTGCCCGTGCTGGGGATGGGGAGGGACTGGGAGCACTGGGATTGGGAGTCTTGGCTCCCAGGCAGCTGAGGGTGGTTTTGGAAACAAGACCTTAATGTTGAGCTTGTCACTGGGAATCTGGCCCAAGACAAGGAGCAGTTTCTCCATCAGGTATCCAGGTCCCATTTCATGGAAGAGCACCAAATGGTGATGGTCCCCAGGGAGCAGCATTAACCACAGGATTAGGGAACACAGCCCACAGTGAGGGCGAATTCTGGGCTGGATCCCCTGGCGGCAAAACATTCCCCCATGGGCCCCACACCCCAACTTTAGAGGGGAAAATAAAGCTTTTTGCATACCCAGAACTGAAACCACCGACACAAACACAGCTTGAGTGATGGAAGGTGGGAGCCCCCAACGCCCCCCAGCCCGTGCTGGACCCCAACGAGGCCGTCCCTGATTGTAAATCCCAGCTCATCCAACACGGAGTAGCCCGAGCTGCTCCCACTGCCCAAAGCCCATCCCAGGCCAGAGGCTCGTTGGGGAATCAGCTCCTGCCCAAAGTAATTAAGTGTAAACAGAGACCCGGGGCTCGGGTCCCACGAGGATGAGGGAATTTGCCCCAGTCACAGCAGGATATGGGAATTGGCTCCGTCGGTGCCAGTCTCCGTGCTGGAGCACCCGGTGTGCCAGGACCCTCCCAGCCGCGCCGTGGTCTCAGCTGTGTCCCTGGAGACCCGAACAGCGCGGGGGTGGCCCGTCGGACAGGCAGGGAGGGTGACAGGGATGGCAGGGAGCATCCCATCTCCCTGTTCCCGGTTCTCCCAGCGCCTTCTCCTGCTGCCATCCCGCGGCCGCGCCCCAGCACTGCGCGGGAACACCGGGACACGGCTCGCCCACCGTATTCCAAACCACAGGAAAAGCCCGGGCTTACAAAAACTCAGTTTATTCCAAATGTTAAAAGATGACAAGTTTTTCTGTCCTTTCTGCCTTGATTAATCGACCAAAATACTTTACATTTTCTTTTTAAAAAAAAAAAAAAAAAAAAAAAAAGAAGAAAATCTCCAACCCCTGCTGAAGCATTGTACAATCCCAGTGTGTGTGTCCCCACACACATCCCACACCCCCCTCCTATTGCTGTAATGCAGCTCTTTGCAGACCCCTCCTCACTCCAGGTACCTGGAAGGCACCTCCTGGAAGGAGAGGATGGGGCTGGCCGGGCACAGGGAGCGAGACCAGCTGGATCGGGGAGGTGATGGGTGGGAGGAGTCCCCTTGTTTCGAGCCATTCGATTCATAGCTGGGGGTTGGGTGTCTGCTCAGCGAGGCCCTGACAGCAAATAAAAGCTCCTTCCTCAGCAAGGGAAAGAGGAAAAAAAAAATTAAACTAAGTTCCCACCCGTGGGATGGATTCTGTTGGGTTTCCAAATGGAATGGGAAGGAGGGAGAGCGGCCAGGACTGCAAAAAGCAGCGCTGGAGGCGGCTGCTCAGGGTGGAGGGAGCAGGGAATCTGCTCCCCAAGCCTGGGGTGTTTTGGCTCAGAACTGTGAGGGGTGGGAGGCAGGAGCCCCCCTTCCCATTCTTTTCCAGCAGTCACAGTGTGCCAGGCATCATCCAGCAGCGTTCCCCCTCACCAGGCAGGATCTCCCCACTGCACCTGGATGCAAGGACAGAGCTCCCTTGGGAATGCTCCTGCCGGGCTGAGATCGCCCTGCAAGGAGCTCAGAGGGGTTTGGTGGGTGGCAGTGGGCAAACCCAGGCCGGAGAGGTAAAAGATGTTTGGGTGAAGGGGATGGAGGAGCACCCAGATGTGGGGAACATGCTCAGGGAGATGCCCAAACCTGATCGTGCAGTGAAGAACAAGACCTTCGGCTTTGCCAGGCTGGGAGACATTAAAAAACCGAGATGAGAAGAAGTGGAAAACCCATCCAGGCACAGAGTTGGGACCAGTTTAGGACCGAGCCGACCCCGGGAGCTGACAGAGCACCACGGGCAGACAGACACAACACTGGCAGGGAGAACACGGGAGCGCTCCCTGCTCCAGCCACGCTCCGGGAGCCTCCTGCCCTCTCCCCAGAGCTGGAAATCACCCCTCCCTGAGCCGGGTGGGAGGTGTGGGGGGTGTGTGGGTCCCGCTGGGCTCGGCTGCGGCGTCACTCCATCAGCTCTGCTCCCTGTCCCTGACCAGCAGCACGGTGTGCTGCCCTCCGCTGGACACGGCCAGCACCCGCCGGTTCTCCAGCTGCTTCCCTGTCATCTCCACCGGGCTCCACACATCGTCCTCCTCCCCGGTGCCCAGCTGGTAGTTGGTGCCCATTCCCCAGGCAAACGCTCGTCCTGCAGCGGAGGGGAAGGCAAGGTTTGAGTTCAGGATGGGCTGGGAGGGGAATCCGGCACCCAAATGCAAGGGGACCCAAGCCAACAGGAACCCAAAAGCCAAGGGCACCCAGCAGCCCAGGCAGTGGGTTTGTGTGTGCCAGAAACACAGGCAGGAGGAAGAGGAGCAGCGTTTGCCACTCAGACAGGTGTTCCATCATGCAGCCAATTGGGAACCAAACCCAAGGCCCCCTTCCAAACCTTCATTCCTGCAGACACTGTGCACAGGCAGCTGCAGCACCAGAGCACAGAGCAGTCAGAGAAGGGACTGTCAGGCCAACAACCCCCTCCTGGTAAACACCCCATGACCAACCCTGTTGCCACGGGCACACAGACACATCTGAGCAGCCACTGCCCAGCTGCCCACAGGAGACCAGCACCAGGAGCAGGCTGCAGTCCTGACCCAGCTGGCAGTGTGTGGGGCTGGCTGGCTGGCTGGCTGGATAGATGGATGCAGGGTGGCTGGGATGGAGGGATGGGGGCACTCCCAGCCCCCACTCACCGTCACTGCTGACGGCGTATCCGACAGACGCTCCACAGGCCACCGAGATGATGCTGGGGAGCTCTGGGATCACTGTGGGTGTGCTCTTCTCCTCTGCCCCCGTCCCCAGGCCCAGCCGGCCGTACTCTGCCCTGCCCAGGCTGTAGGCTTTACCTGGAGCACAAGGGACACACGGGACAGGTGACCTGAGGGGGGCAGAAGCAGCAGCAGGACACAGCCAGACCCTCCCTCCCCAGGTGTGACCCCTGAAGGAGCATCACTCCTCCCTACCACACCCCAGAACCCAACCAGGAGGGGCAGGGTGGGACAGAGACCCTTGAGCTCCCCAAAATCAGTAGGGTGTGTGGGTGCAGAAGTAGCCTTCACAGGTGACTCCAGGTTCCTCCCTGCCCTTGGCTGCAACCTCACACCACCCTTCTTGCCTTGAACACTTGGAGAGCTCCACCACATCACCCTCACCCTGACACCTCCCTGGCCAGGACAAGGGCTATGGGAGTCCCCCTTGTCCCGCTCCATGTGATTCCCAGTGCCACTCACCCTCGGAGTCCACGCAGACCGTGTGGTGCTGCCCACCAGAGAACCCGACCCAGGACTTGGTGGAGTTCTTGAAGCAGGTGAGGTTCTGCGGGGAGAAGCAGGGCTCGGTGTCCTGGGTCCCTGCGGGGTGGGACGCACAAACCCGGCCAGATCAGGGCCACGGGCACACACACAGTCCAGGCCAGGCTCCAGCTCTGAGCCACCAACCCCGGGGCTCACCCCCCAGACACGAACACAGCAACCCCCCCCTTCCCGAGCCCCCAGAGCAAATTTCTGCTCAAACTCGTCAGTTGCAGGGGCTGGGATCTAACCCAGAGCTATGCAGGGTGACCCCCCACCCCAGTTTCCAGCTCTGGTGTGTCCCTACTGTGAAGGATTTGGGGCACCCAGGGCAGTACGGGACTGGTGGGAGATCTGGAGGGACTCACCCAGCTGGTGGTAGTTGGAGAGGCCAAATCCATAGATGTGTCCCTCCTGTGTGACAGCAAAAGTGAAATAGGCCCCACAAAAGGCGTCCTGGAAGCGCATTTTGGTTCTTCTCCCTTTGCCTCTGACAGGGACGAGCTGGGGGACCAGCAGCCTCTCTGGGGACAGGAGACAAGGTGTCACACAGGGACTATTCCCTGGATCTAAGGACCCACCTCACTGCATTCAGGTCACTGATTACACACAAGCACCAGGGACTGGGTCCCTTTGCTCCTCTGGAAAGGGCAAAGCCGGGGCCAATGGATGCAGCCCAAAGAACCAAAGCCACTCACGCAGCCCTTTCCGTCCTCCTCGGTTGGCAAAGAGCGCTGGCACCCTGCCCAGCTGGCCCTGCTCGCCACAGCCACACGTGAACAGGTCACCATCCACCGTCAGCATCACCAGGTGGTCATTCCCTGGGAGAGGAGGGAAGAAGGAGTCAGGGAGAAGCGATCAGCAAGCACCAAAGGATGGATCCCACAGGCAAATCCCAGCTTGCTAAAACTCAGTGGGGTTTATGGCACCTCGACACCGCTTGCGGCACAACTTAAAACTCCAGGATCTCCCTCTTCCTGATCCTGGGAAACTTCAAAGCCGTTTCTCTGGGAAGGTTTAAGGGCACAGGTGCCCCCCAAACTCCCCCATGCCCTGGACAAGCTTCCTGGCAGCTCTGCTCTTACCTCAGGCCTCGCAGAGGGTGAGTGCCGTGACCCCGGGGTTGTGGTCAAGGCATTTTACAGCAGATTGGGTCAAATATTAACCTGATATGTTAATCTACTGGGGAGCAAAAACATCTGTTTGGGCTAAAAGACACACAAGAGAAGAGCAAGCATAGCTTTCTACCGGGCTTGGAGCAGCCAAAAGGGTGGAAAAAGTCATGGCCCTTCTGGACCTTCACCTTGCCCAAAGGGTTGCGACACCCTCGTGGCCCTGCCCGACCCCGCAGCCCTGAGGGCTCACCTGAGGCTATTTTAACAACGGGGGCATCCAGCTGGAGCAGCACAGGAGTGGAGCTTGTCTTCATGGGCTCCAGCAGGCCGATCACCCCGTTGTTATCCTGGGTGGAGAGGCAGACACAGGGGTGTGAGTCACCGGAGCAGCTGCCGGAATGGGAGCTGCCGGCGCCCCGGGGAGCAGCGTACCCGGAAGGAGCCCCACACGAAGACCCTGCCGTCCTCGGTCAGCGCAGCAGTGTGACTGTCCCCTGCTGACACCTGCACCACCTTCTCCTGCAGCTCCACCGGCCCCGGGGAGGTCTCAGACCCTTCCTCCGAGGTGTCGCGCCCCAGGGCGCCTTCATCGTTGCAGCCGAAGGTGTAGATCTGCAGAGGGAGAGAGAGAAGGGTCGGGACGGGGCCCGGAGGGGAAAAACAGGCTGAGCGTGGAGTCAGGGGACAGAGACCCACCAGGATGAGTTATCACAGAATCATGGACTGGTTTGGGCTAGAAGGGAAGCTCAGCCCCCCTGTCTCACACCCACCTTGCCTGTCTGGCCCAGGCACACCGTGTGCATCCCTCCAGCCTCTGCCTGCACCACCATCTCCGGCAGGGTCACCAGGGCTGGCTTCTTCCTCTCCATGATGTCCTCGCCCAGGCCCAGCTGGCCCACATTGCCCTGGCCCAGGGTCAGCACCAGCCCAGGTTGTGTGCGGTGCGACGGGTGGCTGACTGTGAGGAGAGAGAACATGTAAGGGTTAGGGGTACAGCCCTCCTGGCAAAGCTCATCCCTGGGGAAAGGGGACGGGAAACCCCTCCCCAGCGTTTTCCTTACCTTTAATTTTCTTCCTCTCCAGAGGCTCCTCCTCTGGCACTGGGTTCTTGGCGGTGCGTTTCCCCGGCATGGTGGGACCTAAAGGCCGCAAACAGGGGTCACCCACGGGGCTGGGGGTGTTTGGTGTGTCCCCTCCTGCCCTAAAAGCCACCTGAGGGGCTGGGGAATGAGCTGGGGTTCGAAAACTGATCCTTGCTCCTGCTTTGGGAGAATGGAGGGTTGTTCCCTGCAGGTTTGGTCCACACTCCCTATCCTCAACCTGTCAGGTCCAGGCAGGCAGGGAGGGAAGGGAAAGGTGGAAGGGAAGGAGAAAGAGAAGGGATAAGGAAGAACGAAGGGGAAAGAAGGGAAGGGGGAAGGGAAGAGAAGGGGAAAGGAGAAAGGGGGAAGAGAAGGGGAAAGGGAAAGGAGGACGGGAAGGGGAAAGGGGAGGCAAGGAGGAGCCAGAAGCAGCAGCACCCCGTGAGCTCCCCATTACCCGAGCCGAGCCGTGTCCATGCCCATGTCCCTCTCCCCCGTGCCGCCCCCCGAGGCCCCCCATCCCAGCCCCTTCCCGCCATTCGAATTCCGCGCGCCGCCGCCTCACGTGGGGGGGCCGCGCAGGCCTCGGCCCGGCCCGGCCTCTCCTGGCGCGGGCCGCCGCTGTCCCTTCGAACCGCCCGGCCGCGGCGGGGCCGGCCTGGTGCCCCTCTCGCCCGCCGTGCCCGTGTGCCCATCCCGGCCCGCCCGTTCCCGTTCCCGCTCCCGTTCCCGGCCCGGCGCCGCCGCCGCTCCCTCACCGCGCCGCCAGCCGACCTGCGCATGCGCTGCCGCCTCGCGCGGAGCGCTCCGCGCACCGCAGCGCCCCCTGCCGGCCGGCGGGCACCGGGCAGGGACAAACAGACCCGGGCGGGGACAGACAGGGGGACAGACAGGGGGGACAGGACACGGGGGACAGGCTGGACAGGGGTACGGGTGGGATGGGACAGGAAGGACAAAAGACAGAGCAGAATGACAGGCAGGACAGGACAGGTGGGACAGACAAGGGAGAAGGACAGAAAGGACGGGGTAGGGCAGGACACAGCACAGGCTGGACAGGGGGACAGGCGGGATGGGACAGGTAGGACAGAAAGAGAGGTAGGACAGGACAGAAGGACAGGTAGGACAAAAAGGACAGGACAGAAAGACAAGCAGGACAGAAAGACAGGTAGGACAGGACAGAAGGGTAAGTAGGACTAAAGGACAGGCAGGACAAGAGGAACGGAGCAGAAAGGACGGACAAGCAGGGCAGAAGTACAGGTGTGACAAGACAGGTGGCACAGAACAAGCAGGACAGAAAGGGCAGAGGAACAGGTAGGACAGACAGGTCAGATGGGGCAGCACGGCAGGTAGGACAGGAGGACACAGGGCAGGTAGGAAAGCAGGGCTGGCAGCTGCTGCCCTGGGACAATCCGTGTCCCCTGGGCAATAAATCCCGTTGGTGTAAATAACCCATCCTGCCTCTGAACCCCAGGGGTGCCCCCAAGCCAGGGTTGAGGCAACAGAGCTGCTCCCACATTTTTTAACATCCCACTGCTTAATGTGGACAATCCACTTCCATTCTTGAAGCAAACTGAGTGTCTTGGGGTGACAGGAGGACACCAAACTGCCAAGTTTCTCCCCTTATCTAATGGGATGACTCTCTCCCTTTTCATTCTGCCGATTAATTCTGCTCTAGTTAACATGCAAATCCAGCCCTGGGGATGTCCCAGACCAAGGGCCTGTAGTTTGGTATTTAATAGCCCTTTCGTAATGAAATCACGCTCCCAATTGTACCCTCAGCTGATTCACTGATCCCAAGGTGCCCTGCAGGGCCCAGGCCATCAGAAAACCCTTTCGGGAGGGGTATAACCCTGGAATATTTGTTATCCCAGGCTGGTTCTGGATCTCCTCAGGTGAGCAGGGGCACATCCACCCACTGACTCTTTCCCTGGGGGTTTTATGGCCGAGGACAGGATATGCAGGCAACTGCTGCAGGGTACTCTACCCGTAAACTCCTGCAGAACCTCCCCAAAACCCACCCTACATCACTCCCCTTAGAACAGGGTACAGGATTTGTGACCCCTCTCCATCCTTCTGCCCCCAAAAGCCACACGCCTTGAGGCCCAGATCCATAAACCCATCTGGGTTCAACCCTTACTGATTTATGAAGGTGTTTTTGTGCCTTGGTATGACCCTGAACTAAAGGATTACCTGCTCCTAATCCAGCCTAAACAGAGGGTTTATCTACACTCTTTGGAGAGGGGACACCGCCACACCAGAATCCCACCTTCCCACAAGTGAGAAACACCCAACAGGAGCATCAGAGGTTTCCTTTAACACTGAGTGGATTAACCAGCAGATCACTCGCCATGAAACACAAACCAAGCCGAAGCAAATCAAGTTTATTTTATTCTCTACTGCAGGTTAAGTACAGAATTAGAACCAGCACTGAGCAGGGCTGATTTCAGGGTGCACACACACACACATACACACATACTGCTGGTCCCGCCCACATCCCGTGAGCCACCACCCCCTTCCAGGATCAGCTTCCCTGGAATGCCCTTGGCCCACGAGGTCGGTGAGTGGCTTCCCTGGCAGCTGGCACTCCCTCTGGATGGGAGGGCGGTTGGCACGTCCGGATCCACAGGAGAGCTTTTTCCTTACACCCCCCCTCTCCCCCCTCCCGAAGGGCCCCCAAAGCAGCTCCTTCCCGCAGGGCCAGCCAGCCCTTGGCTTTTCACTTGCCCTTTTATCCAATCCCACCTCATTCCCCGTGGGTTTTTTTCCCCCCATGCATCTCTCACACACGTGCCCAGCACCCAGGGCCCTGCTCCATCGCTCCCCAAAATCCAGGAGCTGCACATCCCACCAAGCGACCCGGGACACACGTGGCCATTTCCCAGCACAAGCACATGCTCTGGAAAGCCACCGAATTAAAGTATTCCCTGCTCCCAGCCAATTAGTGCAGGAACTGGCCTTCAGCTACTACCCTTTTGAATTATTTGGGCCGATTCTCCCAATATACTCACCCTCTCCCGCTAAAAATCTGTTTTCTTCTGTTATTTCCATACAGTATCTGTAATATTTAGGAAAATAAAATTAATTTTCCTTTTTTTTTCCACGTAACCCAAGTAAGGCCTGGAGAGCATTACTTATTCTCACTTCAGCAAGGATTTTTTTTTCTTCTCTGCAGAGATTTATGATTGTAGCTTTTTTTTTCCTTTTTAAATGGTCAGGAATCATCTTCTTCTCCCCTTCCCCAAGCAATCAAAATGCAACAAAAATCTTAGAAGCTAGGAATGTTTGAGCCAAACTTTGTTTTAAGCAACACCTACACGCTCGGGATTGGACTTTAATCACTTTAAGCCGATCCAACTGTCCCATAAGAGGCTTAGAAACGGATAAAGCCGATTAAAAGTATGTTTAAATTTTTAAGCGAACAGTAATACAAAGTTTAAATTTTAAAGAGAACAGAACACTTATTTGTGCACTCACCTTCCAAACTCGTGCTAGTCTTAAACTTGTCTCAAGCCTTACAACTGGAAACAGGAAAAAAAAAAAAAGTATATTAAGGAACTAGTATTTAATGGAACTGCTCAGGAGTTTCTCGTTTTCCCCCTCCCCCCCCCACCCCCCCCCCCCCCCTTCCCAGACCGCATGCGTCTCCCGCCCCATCCCGCGTGTGTGGAATTGTTTCCTGCATGGTTTGTCTCCTCTGTAACGGCCCGGGGGCTCAGAGAAGCAGTAGGAATATGCAGGCTGCAGGCTCGGTGGCCCGGCTTGTTCTCCAACGTCGTGGAAGGGGACTGTACGTCACGGGCCCGAGGGCCTGCGCTCCCGTGCGCCACACGGACAGAGCCAGGAGAGAGCGACTTCTCCGGATATCCACGTTGGGGTTTGTGTTTTTAAAATTACACCCCCAAGCTCCGCGAGCAGACGTGGCCACGCCGTACTTACAGTAGATCGAGCTGGGCAGGCCGGGCTGGGCAGGCGGACAGTGTGACCTGTGGAAAATGGAGCGGGCCGTGAGGGGGCGGCTGAGGGGCACCCTCCGCCGCGTGTAACCCACGGCCTGTTTCAGCGGTAAGAAAAGGATGAGGCGTCCCTGCAGGCGATTGTAAGGCCGCGGGGACCCCGTGCCATAACGAAATAGAGGATAAAAATGAGTGGAATAGGATCAGATTTACCTCACTACCGCTCCCCTCCTCGGCGACAAAGAGGCCAAAGGCAGGCGCTCAGCGGTATTTATAGAGAGTGGAAAGGGGCGTGGCAAACCCGCGCACGCGCGCCACGTGGGGCGGGGTTAAACCATACATGGGCAAGAGCAGAGAGCGAGGGGCGGGGCCAGAGCCCCCTGGGCGGGAAGAAAAAGGGGCGTGGCCAGCGGCGCCTGCGCAGTGGCGGCGGCGGCCGTTGGGAACACGGAAAATGCCGCCCCCTCAGGGAGGAACCGCCATGATGGATTCGCCCCCCCCTCCCCCTCCCCCCTTCAGGGGTCGGCCCCGTCCCTTCAGGCCCTAGCGTTAAAAACACCACAAAAGCCGTTTAGTTTTTCTTAAAAAAAAAAAAAAAATCCTAAAATACTTTTATTCCATAGTTAAAATCTGTTGCTGAGGAGACTGATATACAACGCAATGGTTTAAGTCTACAGGTGGCTGTACAGTGCGGGGTGGGGGGGAGCGGTGAGGGAAGAGCTCTCGCCATGTCCCATGAGGGTGCCGGGTCGTGGCCGGGGTGTTGCCACCCCTGCCTGTGAACAAGGCAAAAAGCCCTTCTCTCCATCCCCACACTCCCTTCCCTCACAAGTGGCATCTCACACATGGTTTAGGTTTTGTGCATAATACAGCAGTGGCCTATACCAGATTTCTTTTTTTTTTTTTTTTTTTAAACCCCACATTTAAGGAAGAACTTCTTTCAGAAGAGAAAAATCATCTTTTTAAGGTCACTTTTTAAACCTCTTCCTCCACTCCCTTCGACCCACACAGTGAAATTTTATCAAGTTTCTGGTAGGTTTAGCTGTAAAAATGAGAAAAAAAGGCAAGTTTCAACCCTGATTTGGGAGAGTAAAAAACATCTGAGAGGAAGCCACAATAAAAAGGATTGACTACTCTCACCTTTTCCCCAAATTAAAAAGTTTTAAAAGGCAACAGTCATTTTCCTGGTTCTGTAATTCATTAAACAATCCTAGATATCTCAAGATCTGTTATTAACATCACAGCAAGTGTGAGAGGGTGGGGAAGGAATGTTTTATACATCTGTGGTTTCTGTTTTTTTTTGTTTTGTGGGTTTTTTTTACAAAAAAGATGCAGCATATGTTAATACCTATACAGTTCCCTTCCAGCACAACAAACCGTTGGTCAGTAGTGATTCAGGACATTAAGGACATGACAGAAACAAGCAAAACCCCAAAAAATAACGAGTGACATGTCAGTTGTGTGCCAGGTTTCTCTGTACACAGCTAATATACACACACGTGCTTCCAAGCACATCCTCTCCTCAGCTTCTCAACACCAGAGCTGCCTTTTTCTTCTTTTTTTTCCCCCCCTCTTTCCTCATGGAAAAGAGGAGGAAAGGAGGAATTGCATCCCGAAAAGGAGTCTGTTCCCCTGGGCATGTTCTCCTGGCAGGGGGTTATTGCTGAGCCACACGAGGTATAGTGTCAGTTCCAGCCTGATGGCACGAGAGACGTGTTTGTTCCAGTGAAATGCTACATTCAGACAGGATTGCCCTTTCCCTGGCTGAAAGCCCTTTTCTGGATATGGTTGGAAGGCAAATCTTGGAAGAGCTGGGGGGTTCCACCCTCGCTGTATTGCCTAGGAGAGGGACGCAGGGAACTTCCAGGCCTCTAGGGTCTCTTGCTCCCTTCTTGGAAGATTATGGTCGATGGTACCTGAAAGCCAAGTGAAAAAATCTGAGTGTTGTCCAGGTTAAATGGTTAGATGGCCAAAGAGGGTAAATTGAATGAATCAACACAGAACTCCCATCCCTCGGGGAAGCTGTAAACATCAAACAATGTCACCTCTTGTGCTCTGCAAACAACTCCACCTCACAAAGCTGGAAGGAGAAGAATCACTTGGGCCACAATTCACAGGTGACTTCACAGATAATATCCCAGCTCATTACCGAGGTGTTTTGTGGCTGTGGCTTCTCTAGCCCCAGAAAAGCCCACTCCAGCTGCAAGGTCACACTAGTTTAAGATGCATCTCAAACCAGCCACTGGTCACTTTGAGTTTCCAGGATGGAAGCCCCAGTTAAAGGAAAAATAACCCACTTTGTGTCTCCAGTCACCCCTCACCACCAAGGCAGGAAGGGACATTCAATCTCCCATTTCTGCACAGATAATTTTTCTGAGGTTTTAATGTGCCCCTCAGCACGGGCCCCCCAAGAACAGAACTCTTAAACAGCTCCTACAAGACCAAAACTCTTGAGTAACATGTTCTCACCTCGTGAACTGCTTGCTCTCCTCATGCACTTCCATTTCAGAGCTCTTAAACTCATTCAGCTCCTTCCTGATGGCCGCCTGCACAGAGAGGGAGATTGTTTTTTGGTAAAGGAAAGGGCTCAGACTGCAGCAGCCGCCCCAGGTCTGGCAGTTCATTCACACTGAACTAACTGAATTTAATCTGCCCCTCCTCCTCTACCTCAGGGCTGGGCAGTCCCACAGGTGGCCAGGGAGGAACAGGACAGATTTCCCTGCCAGCTCCCCTGGGCTCCACCTCACCATGAGGCAGCAGGAAGAGGAGCTGGGACAGCACACACGGGTGAAGGGACACTGGTGGTGCTCAGTGGGAGGGTAAAGACGAAGAGGTGAGGCAAGAGGAACAGAGTAAATCTCCTTGGCTCCCACCCTGGTGTGGCTCCCTGTCCCACCTGGGGCCAGGACACTCCCCGTTACCTTGTCAGCTGGTGTCAGCTTTGTCCACGGCTTATCCGCTCGCCGGTCATAGTCCTGAGCATCTGTGACTTCCACGTATTCATTAAACCTCAGGATCTTCCTGGCCTGCAGCTCTGCCACCGTAGGCCTTTGGCTAAGCTGAACACCAGCAAGAACAAAGGAGGTTAGTCTGAGCCTTGTCCTTGAAGCAGATCAGGACTAAGCACCCTGAGCAGAACTAAAACCAGTTCCCTGGCTGGGCCTGAGCCACAGACACTGCCAGGTCCTGCTCACATCCTGCAAGGGAGCAGGCAAACCCTCTTACAGACTGGATATTCCCATTTGGATCATGAGCTCAGGACAGGGCAGAACCCAGGACACATTGCCATGGAGAAGGAAGACACGAAAGGTTTGGGAATAGCTATTAAATGGTGAGCCCTGCGTGACACCCCTCAACTCAACCCCAGCGATGGCCACACTTGGCATTTCACACCCACAGCCCCCAAGGAAGCTTCTCCCAGCCATGAATGACAACCCCAAGTAACCTGGATGTAACAGCTAAAAGCAGCTGTTGCTCTGCCCAGCTCCCACACCGCTGTTGCTTTAGAAACGAGTTTTTAGGGAGCCTGCTGTGAGGCACGGCCGCTGAAGAGCTGTGTTAGAGCAGAAAGGTTCGCTGGCCCGGCAGGTGCCAGGTGCCAAATTTAGTTCTCATCTCTCTCGTTACGCTCGCTGCCAGCTCAGATCTGGCGCTGCCAACAGCGCCAGCGGCTCCCCGCGGGTCACAGCCCACGTTCCAAAGTCCCCGCAGCCCGAGGGCACTGGGGACACTTACACAATGGCCCCGTGACCGCCCCCACAGCACGGTGCCCACGCCGTGCCCGCTGCCACCAGCCCTGCCAGGTGGCCGTCACCACGGGGGGACAGCAGTACCTTTCTGGTGAGCCGGCGCTTGATCTCGCGCTTCTCAGCTTGACGGTCAGCCTCATTCTTGGCTGCCAAGGGGGAGGGAAAAAATACATTTTTCATGTAAGCATCAGGCTCTGAAAAGGGCTTTCTGGGCTAGAACAAAGCAGAGTGTGGAGCTGCATCAGATTCTCTACACATCTGATGGCTCACTGTGGCATGTCTGCAGTTAGGACAGGCACACAGAGCAGCCCAACTCAATACAGAGTCACCTCCTGGACTAGCAGGGGCCACATAGCCCTTAAGCAGCACCACCGAGTCATTCTCATGTTAAAGACTAATGCCTGTGTTGCCAAAATACATCTCAGCCACTCTGCAGCTCGGTCCTCCCCAAAGCTGTTAGAGTTTAAAAGAAAATAACAGCACAGATAAATATTTTAAATGGAAACTTCCTGAACTGACATTTCCCTTTCCTCACGATGTTTATTTAAAACTTTTGCAGAACGAGACATGGCCAAGAGAAACAGCCCTGACTGAGCGATGCACTGCTGCTTTTGGGATCATGCAATGCAATGCTGTAATGTCTGGACCACAAATGAAAGTCCAGCCCAAACAAAACACCTTTCACAGCCCTTGCTGGGTAACAGCAGAGTCTGAACCAGCTCACACACTCGGAGGAGCCAGGCAGGGGACAGGCAGCCTGTATTATCACAGAATGAATGGAGCTGGAAGGGACATCAAAGATCACTTGCTGTGGGCAGGGACACCTTCCACCAGCCCAGGTTGCTCCAAGCCCTGTCCAACCTGGCCTTGGACACTTCCAGGGATGGGGCAGCCACAGCTTCTCTGGGCAACCTGTGCCAGGGCCTCCCCACCCTCACAGGGATGAGTTTACTCCCAAAATCTAATGTAAATCTGTTTCAGTTTAAAACCATTCCCTCCCAATGAACTAAGATGGGCAAACATTGTATTTCTCAGGACCCCCACACAAGCGCTACTCACGCTGCAGGATGTTCCTCTGCTCCAGCTCTTCCGCTGTGGGTCTCTGGCTCAGTCGCCTGAAGAAAAAGTGTGACAAGAGCGTTATGTTATATCTGTAGCCCTCTCAGCAGGGGATGAAGGACACAACTGTCTGGTTTTGGTGCTCTGGAGAGCCTACTCCACACTCCTCACTTGCCAGTGGGGATCACTGCTGCCCTGTTTGTGCTCTGCTCCGCTCAAACAGCTGCTCAGCCACCGGCACAGGTCTGGGAAGGGCTGTGCACCCTCAGAAAGCAGCTGTGCAGGGAGCTCAAGCACAGAGCAGAGCCTGGACTGTCACCAGCTTTGTCCACCCACCCATACCTTTCTACACCATCTGTCTTTTACATTTCTGCAGCCCTTGGGATTTTCCCCTTTTGATCCATTTAACTCTGGAAACAGGGGCCTGTCAGGGGCTGTTGCTCAACTCCAGGAGGAACTCCCAACTTTTGTAAGCAGGGAGGAACAGCAACGCTCATCCTCCCAGCCCTGCTGCAGCTGCCGTGCCCAACCACCCACCCTATTCCAGCACAGGCCGATAGACAAGGCACCAGCTTTGCCCAATCCCACCCCAGCCAGCAGTTCAGACAGAACGCCCTCCTTCTTCCCTGTACCTGATCAGCGTTGTCCCGATCTGCTGCCGGATCTCGTTCCACTCCTCCTTGCTCTTCCGAGGGAAAACGATCTTGTCCTCCTGCGGCGCGGTCGCGTTCCCCAGCTTTATAGCCAGCGTGTCTTTCCTCTTCACCTTGTTGGCCAACGTGCCTGTGGGGAGGGAGAGCAACGGGATGCAGCTCAAGGCTGCAGAGCCTGAGCCCAGCAATCCCAGCCACGATCCCTGGCAGTTGTGCTCTCCCTGAGGGAGATCTGTCCTCTCTCTGTGTTTCCCAAGCTCTGCGCTACGGCAGCAGCATCCAGCGCTCCTGTGTGACGCCACATGCTCACCTAAAGCTGTCCCACCTGAGGGGCTGGGACAGCACAGGCTGCTGCAGGAGCCATCTGCAACTGGAGGGGTGCACTCAGCAGGTGAGAGCACAGGTTTGGCTGCAGAGCCTTGGAAAAAGCGAGGCAGAGGACATGTGGTACATCAGGAAACCGAGAACCAGCTGCTCTGCTGCGCTGTGGGAACCAGCTCTTTGATCCAGATCTCAGTATAGCCAGGCACAGGTTCAGCAGAGAAATAAAAAAGCCAGCTGCAATGTCAAAGCCTTACTGTTATGGCTTTCATCTTCCTCCTCATCCTCATCATCTTTGTACAGGATGGGCCCCTCCGAGTCAGAGTCGCTCATCCCTTCGTCTCCTTCCCGCTCCTCTGGCAGGACCTGGGGTACCAGTTTGGGGATGACTGTGACAGATGGCACATCTCCAATATATACACGAGGACCCGGATTCTGCTCCTCTTCCTGGTCATCTTCTTCCTCTTCCTCATCGTCTGGACTAACGAGAAGCACACTATTACACCTCTTAACACATGGCACAGGGGCTGGGGAACACGCCTGGGGTCAACAACTCATTAGCTCTCCTCAAGGGAGCCCAGGAACCAGAGGAGCAAGAGCCACCCCAGGATCCTGCACTGTCCCCTCTTCCCAAAGCACAGGAAGCTCTGGCAGAAGAAATGCCAGAGGCAGGTTCTGCAAAACCAAAACAGCCTTCTGACCCCACTACTTTGGGACTTGCAGGTTCAGCTCTGCTATTACAAGACAGCCCTTTTCCCACTTCAGTTTTGCAAAATGAAAGGCCAAGGAAGGCCACAAATGGATGGAATCCAGGACCTTGTTTTGTCTTGGTGCAATTAAAGACAGGCCAGGCTTGGATTCCTGGCATCAGCCTGTGTTTGCAGTCTGGAACCCATTTCCCTTTGCGAGCAGTAAAATCCCAGAACCGGGGGTAATTTCACCGGGAAGTTGTTCTGGCCCTTAAGAGGCTGAATCAGAGTTGGCCAACAGGGAAAGTGGTTTCAGCAGAGACACCAGCCCTGCCCAGAGCCCTCCTCACCGCACCACGGGCTCTCAGGAGCTGCAAGAGCCACCACACGTCCAGGGGGTACTCACACTTTGAGCATCTCGATGGTGATGGGCAGGGACCTTGTCCTGCCCAGGGTGCCGTTGTCATCCCCGAATCCATCGTTCTCAAAGAGCAGGGAGTGAGCCCTGTGGGACCCCTCGGGCGGGGGGGTGACGGGCAGGGGGCTGTTCAGAGCCTGCTGGATCCGGATGTGCAGCGGGATCTGGGGCAGGCGGGGCAGCACGTGGGGCTCTCCGAAGCCTTGCTCCGCCGTCCTCTTCAACGCTTCCACGGACCTGAACTCCTCCGGAGGAGGCGGCGTCTCGGTGGGCAGGTCCAGGGAGCGCGGGGGGTCCAGGCTGGGGGTGGGGGTGGGCAGGGGCATGCGTGGGGGCTCAGGGGGCACGTGTGTGGGCAGGGGCGGTGAGGGCGAGGGCGGCGGGTGAGCCGAGCTCACGTGCAGCGGGATTGGCGCCGGGCGAGTCGCTGTTCCCGTCCTGTCGTGGGGGGGCTTGGAGGGGACAACCTCCGACGTGTTGTTGGGCACGAGGCCCCTCTTCGGGGGGAGAGGAGGGGAAGGCTTGGACAAGGCGGTACCACTGTTCATTGCCTGGGAAAGTTCAGCTGGAAATAAAAACCACAAAAGCCACGGTGTTTAACGGGGAATTTTCCAGATACCCATCAGCAGCGTGGAAGAAGCACGGCCAGGCAGAGCCTGGGACTGGGCAGACTCTGCTGCTTTTTACTGGATCCTGGTGCCAGAAATAACCAGGTTGCAAGGCTCTAGTTTGTCCTTCCCGCAGCAAAGGTAAGACTCAGGAGAGCAGCCAAAAATAAGCAGGCTGGGAGAGATCCTGCTGCTCTGGAGAGAGACGAATGGCACCAGTCCTCAAGTGACAGCACATGCAGCTCACCCAGGAATGTGGGCACTTTAAGGCTGTATTTACAGCAACAAAGGAATCTGACACATCCAGGACACCCCAGACTCCAGTTGTGTTAACAGCTCCCCTGCACATTAAAGACCTTTGTGGGAAGTCTCAAAGAGTCTTAAAATCCTACCTTTTGCTCAAAGGTAAAAGTCAGCAGAGCTGCAGGCAGCAGTGTGCTCTCCCCATTTCCACCCACCCATCAGACCCAGGTGGAGAACATCCTGCTGCCAGCAGCTCCTCAGGATGAGATTCCGCTCCCCTCCCTCTGAACTCCGTTCCTTAATACCCAAATAAACCACAAAATAACTAGCAAAACTTCCCAAAATGCCTAAAAGCCTTGAGCCTACATATCTGCTGTGTGATGGAGGAGAGAGGGAGAAACGGAGACATGGGAAATGCCTGCAGTGGGCAACCTCAGCTTCCTCAAACCCCGCTCCATTCCTAGGGAAGAAGCTGCACCAGTGAAGACTGCTCTTCCCTTAGGAGTTTCCAGCCTTGAACATATCCGCATATCCATGGCTTCTGGGGCTCGGAAAGGCTTTGCCTGAAGCGGGTGAGGTTTGCTGCTGGTTCCCCCGGAGCGGAGCGGGTGATGTGACACACCCGTGTGCCCAGCACAGAGCCCGCAGCGCAGGCACCACGAGAGGGTGCTGCGAGCAGGAGCGTTCCCAGAGATAAGGCCGCATAGCTGCAGAGAGGTGGGCACATTTTTGGGATGTTTAGCATTTTCAGACTTTCCCCTCGTAGATTAAGGGCAAGATTGTGCAAAACACCCGAGTGCCCTCAGCTCCAGCCCAGGGGGGTCCAGTGTCTCCTGAAATCTGCCCTGGGGCTGCTGCCAAGCTCTGGGACAGCAGGACAGCACCCTGTTCCCTGTTCAAGCTGCTGCTGAATAAATTCCCACTCCCCAGAAGGCTTTCCTGAGCCTTATTCTCAGCTGCTGCATCAGACACAAGAACTGCTCTGAGAATGAGCACTGTCAGGAATTTTAGGACAAAGAGGGTGACCTTTCCTCTCCACTCCCTTTCCCTGCACACCCTGTGGCTGTTGGGAAGAAGCAGGATGGGCTCTGAACAGATGTTGGACACACTCCTGCCTCCAGCCACACTTTTTGTTCCACCAAGTACCTCCTGCAATTAGCGCTGGGGCATTTCAAATGCCATCTGCAGTGTGTGCAAGCAGCTTAAAGAAAACAAGAAGGTATTTCATGGAGTGCTCGGGCATGGCCAGGCTAATCAAGCTGGTCTGGCACATGGGAGTGTTTAACACCATATCAAGGTCACTTGCAAAACCTGCCAGAGCAAGGTGAGCCCCCAGCAGAGCAGAGCCACCAGCTCACACTGAAAGCAGCCACTCAGGCTACTTCAGATGGCAACCTGCACATCCACCACTGCCTCCCAAACCACACCTGGGTGACGCCTCCAGTTTCTGTGATAACAGTGCAAACCTGTGGGAATGATCTTCCCAGGAGCCTCCCTCCTCCTCTGTGTCCAAAGATTAGGAGGTGTCTGTAACAGAACTGCCTGAGATACAAACAGACTGCATGCAAGTCACCCCAGCTCTCAATGCTGCATCTTTAAGACCCCCCCCACCTCAGAACTCCTACAGAGAGCAGAGACTAAACCAGCTTTACGAAACTCTCCCCCAAATCTTCTGCTTAGAAAAGTTGCAGAGATAAAGGCATTTAATTCTCCAAGTGGGAAGAATCAGCTCAAATTACAGTTGAGCTGATTTATCCGTGGGACAAGACTTAGGGACAAGACTAATATGGCAATATCCCAGCCACGGACCTTAGAGGAGGTGCCTGAGTAGAACCAGGGAAGCCTGAATTATCCCTGCCTCTCTGCACTGAGGGGAAACCACATGGCCCTGCAGTGACAGCCGTGACAGACATTTTTTTGGTGTGATGTGCATTTTTTGGGTTAGTTTGTTGGTTTTTTTTTTTTCCCCCCCCCAAACCAGCTGAAAGCAGGAATTGTCCCTGACCGCAGTCTCGCAAAGCAAAATCTCATCCACCATCTCCCAGTCCTGGCTGAATCCCAGCCCTCAGTGAAGCATCAACATTCAGACACTGCCTTAGAGCTGACAGAGGAAAAGCAGGCAGGGACTCCTTCCTGCAGGTAGCTGCTGGGAACAGATTGGATGGCTCACAGCAGAGGACTCCAGTAATTACACTGTTCCCAACACACGTGTGTCCTGGCTAAACACTGGCAGATCCAAGTCCAAACTGGATTGTTTTCAGGAAGAACGCTCAGACATTCATGATACAACCAAAAATCTTCCCTTATGAACGGAAGAGAGTCTTGGAGCAGTGGCTCCAGGACATCCCAGGGCACAAAAACCAGCTCATGGGCGTCACTTACCTATTAGTGAGTTGCTATTTCTGTTGACAGGTTTGGGAGGGGGGACAGGAGGCTGTTTGGCAGGAGCTGTGCTGGTTGTACTGGTGGGAGCAGTAGTGTTGGCACTGGCAGGAGCAGGGAGCAGAGTCCTGGGGGCTGGGGAAGGGGCAGCTGTGGGATTGACTGTCTTTGCTGCAGTGGGGGCTGTGGTGGAGGGGGCAGTTCTTGCAGAGCTGCTGGCGGGCGTTGGATCCTTCGCCTGCGCCTCGTTTGCCTCCTGGGAGGTGGAGGGGGGTCTTTTTGGAGGAAGGAGAGGCTGTCTGGGACCATGTGGCTCCTGAGGTGGTTCCAGTTCGGGCCCAGGGTGGCTGCTGGAAGAGCCTGCAAAGGGAGACAGCTCAGTTTAAGGGACTGGAGAGCGGAAACAATCAGATGGGAATCCAAAACTGGTCCTGGGATAATCCAAAGCCCCGAGTCTGCACACAGCTGGTTTCTTACCCTGCCTCTTTTTCAGTTCCTCTGCTGGAACAGGCTTCCTAAGGTTGGAGGGCTTTGTGGCCTCTTCCTCCTGGCTGGGCAGGTCACAGAGCCCGGGCCCACTGATGGGGACTGTGTGGCCATTCTTCAGTGCAGGGGGGTTCAGCTTCTCTGGCTCTTCACCATCTGCAGGGGGAGGGGAGGGGACAGAAGCAAAGAGCAAACACTCAGAAGGCAGCAGAGAGGAGAGCTGGCTGAGCTGACTGAACCACCACAGAGCCACACCAGCTCCTCTCTGGCTTCTGAAGCAGCTGTTCTTCAGTCACCTTCTGCACAGGAGAGCACAGCAACCACCCAGCTGGGGGCTGGGAGCCCTTGAGTTCATCGTCAACAAGTAAATAGTACAGCTTTGTATTTTACCATCAAAGGTTTTTCTTCTTCCTGTCCTGCCCTTCCTCCTGGTGTGCCCAGTGCTGTGCCACAGCCCAAGGAAGTTGTGACTGCAGTCAAAATACTCCAGCAGCTTTTGTATCCACCCACCATCAGAGAGCAGCCACCGATTCCCTGCTGCAATAGGTTCCAACATGAGCCAGGGCACCTACTGCACATGCAATAGTAGATTTTGATAAAGTCTTCAAGTTACTGGAAGCACCTCTGTTTTTCTTCTGTTCCTACCCTGAATTTGGCATAAAATTCAATGCACATCAGCAAAGCAGGTTTCTTCACTTTACCTTTGTTTTAATCAGGTGTAATGATACAGCTCCAGATGCTGATGTAGCTCACCTTGGCTATTTCTGCTTTTACAGATTCTAGCATGGAGTTTCCCAAGGTCAGAAGCAAAACCTCTTTTGGAAAAGGTTCCTCTTTCCAGCTTTTAATTTTGAGAGCATTTCAAACCCCGAGAGGAAATACTCAACCATTCTTAATAACTGCCCCGACAGCACAAACTCTTGACGATGTTATTCCCAATATCAGACTTCAGCACTCACTCTAATGGGACATGGCCATTTTGACTGCTTTCCAACTCAAGAAAATTTGGATACATCATCAATTTGATTAAAAATCCTTTCAGTCTACCCTCTCTGCACCAACTGCAGCAGGTGGCATCAAGGCCCTCCAGACTGCAGACCCCAGCACACTCTGCTGCTCTGATTTTTGGTCATTTATTCCACTGCCCTCTTCACCTTTCCTCTCTCCCCCAAGTATTACCTCCCCTTCCCCATCCTGGAGTGATTCAGAAGCTGAAAGCAAAGCTGCCAAGGAGCCAAAAGCTCCCCAGGATTTCTCTTCCACAAGAAGCAGCCTGGGTTCCTGGGAGGAGCTGGCAGACGGCGCTGCCCCGCTCGCTCCCTGCCCTTCCCTGAAAAGCAGGAAGCACAGACAGCAACAAGAGGGAGTTTCCTCCCCAGACAGGGCTGAAACTCAAGGGATGAGCCAGAGGTTTTTATGGAACTGCCTCTGGTTATCCGAAGTTTTCGGTAAGGGAGGAGGGAACAGTAAGACTCAACCCTGCCTGCCCTTCTCAGCTCCCGATGGCTTCTCCCACCACCTCCCTCCCAGCTTCAGGTCCAGTGACCTCCTTCAAGGTCAGGAGATCCAATGCCACCTCCTTTACCTTACTCTGAGCCCAGTACCCACAATCTGGAGCCCAGAGAGCAGCAGGGCCTCCTCTCCCAGCCTCACCTCCACCACACCTCCTTCCCCTGCCTCCTCACTTCCTCATCTCAAGGGGTTTCCAGCGTTTTTCCCCCCCCGCTAAGAACCCTCCTAAGAAAATTAACTGACCTTGTAAGAGCGGGTTTTAGGACTGCAAACAAACACAATAACCCACCCTCACGTCTTATGACCGCCCAAGTGTCTTAAACTCCCAGGAGGGATTTAGATAATGCGCCTCTAATCTGCCCCTCCTGCCAGCCCCCACCGCTCCCTCGTGCTGGGGGTTTGCACTTTGGCCACATTACACCCATCTTCTGCTTCTAAAAGCAGAGCAGATGACTCAAAGCAGAAAATAATTCCACCCCTAAGCCAGGCTTCTGTTACACCCTTACAGCGTGGAAGATCTCGCTCTCCTCTGCCATCTCCAGTTGGAAGTTTGGTGCCCAAGGTCTTTGATGTCTCTTCCAGTTTCATCCTGTGACCTCACACCCTCCTGTACCCGCTGAGCTCTTCCTCCAGCGCTGCCCTGACACCCTCGGGTGGGTGTAGAGGCAGCATTACAGCAGAGCTGTGTCAAGACTCTTTCTCTCAGGTTTGCTTTCAGTGGTTTGGTCTGAAAACCACTTTTTCACCTCCACTTTTTCCCCCCACTTCGCAGCTTTCTTAGACTGAGATTTGCACCAGGCCGAGGCTGCCTCTGCACTGAGGGGCAATCACACCCTAATCCAAGGACCATGACCCCACCCAGACAGGAGGGCTGCCATCCCACCTCACCTTCCTGCCCCCTCCCTTGAACCCACACCCCCCAACTCACAGCAGGTGACTCAGTGGTGATCTGAGAACCTGTTTTGGCAGCGTGATCCAACTCGGAGACATCAGGGATGACACAGAAGGGGATCAGACCTCTGAGACTTAGATTAAAGCAGGGCAAGCTTTAATAAGCTTAGTGGTGACTATGACACCACACCATGAAGCATCTTTCGGAGGAAATGCAGCTCAGAAATCATTCATTTTTGACTCTTTTCCCAAGCTGGAGCCACAGGGTCAGCACCTCTCCCCCAGTGCCGCTGGGAATGTGATTGGAACAGCTGGAAGGTGGTGAGTAACAGCAGAGATTGGCAGGACAGGACAAGGGATCAGGAGCAGGACAGGGAGGGAGTGGACAGGATGGGAAGTGAGCCACAGCACAGCCTTCCCACCCTGGAATGTGTCCAAGACAGGCACTGAGCTTCCTCAGCAGCATCTTCCTCCCTGAGCAGGCTGTGAAAATCAGTGTGTGAGAATCAGACCAGAGAAAGCACTGAAAAGGGTAAAACAGGCAGGAACCACAGCACAGAGCCCTTAAATTCGTGTCCCAAGGGTGAGGTTTGGCCAGAGGAAGATCAGCTACACAAGACACAGACAGGAGAAGTTGGTTTGCAGACTCACCCTGCTCAGGCTCTTCCAACAGAACCCCTCTTTTTACCAGCTCCTCTCTTGGCTTTCGCATAGAAATCTTTCGTTCTAAAACTGATATTAAATTGAAAAAAGGCACTCAGAAAACAGGGCAAGCTGGAAGTTCCAGATGAATAATTTTTTTTTTTTTTTTTTTTTTTTTTTAAATTTTTTTTTAAGGGATCCTCTGGAGGAAATAAAAGGGCTTCAAATTTCACTGGTTTTGCATGGATCAAGAGGAGGGAGGAGGGACTGCACGTTCAGGCCTGCACTTCACACCACACTGGTGATCGTGGAGCGAACCCTCCCTCCCCACAGCTGCTTGGGGAGGCTCCTTGCAAGAAAGGAATTTACTTGTCTGAAACTACAGCTCCATGTCAAGGTGTTTGTGGAGAGATTGCAGGTGCCAGCCCATCACCACAGTCACGTTTTTGGTTCTTACACATGCCAGCACCCAGGCTGGTGACAGCAAGCCCTTCTCAGTGGCCAGATGGCTCGTGGCAGGTTTCCCTGCGGAGGAAGGGACGTCCACCCAGCCCTCCCCCCATTACTTTACCTTCTGAAGTCTCCTTAAATTTGTCGCTGCTTTTCTTTTTCCTCCACTTCCAGGGTTTGAAGATCTTGCCAAAGCTTGAGAACTTGCTTTTCCTCTTTGTAGGGGGTGTGGTGTCACCCGATTCCACAACATCTACCCCCATGCCGCCATCACCTGGGGTGTGATCCACCTCCTCGGCTGCAGGGGAAAGGAGGAAAAGAATGAAGAATTATAAAGGAGGAAAAAAAAGAAAGGATTATCTCTGTGCTGCAGGTAACAGCTGCCACCTCCCACCAGCCCACCCCACACTGGGAAACAGCAGAGCACGTTCATGCAAAGAAAGGAGCACAACTCCATCCACAGCTCTGTGGAACCCTCACATCTGCTTGGGGAGATGCGGCAGGGGCTCCCAGTGTTAACAGGGCAAAGGGAAGCTCATAAGGGGCTTCCTGAGACAAGGATTACACAATTCCAGAATCAATGAGGCTGGAAAAGACCTCCAGGATCAAGTCCAACCTGTGACTGATCCCCCAGCCAAGAGCACTGAATGACACACGTCCTTGGACACCTCCATGGGTGGGGACTCCAGCACCTCCCTGGGCAGCTCCTTCCAGTCCCTGACAACCCCTTTTGTAAAGGAATTCCTCCTGATGTCCAACCTGACCCTCCCCTGGCACAGCTTGAGGCTGTTTCCTCTCCTCCTGTCCCTGTTCCCTGGGAGCAGAGCCCGAATCCCCCCCTGGCTCCCCCCTCCTGTCAGGGATTGCAGAGCCAGAAGGTCCCCCCTGAGCCTCCTTTTCTCCAGGCTGAGCCCCCCCAGCTCCCTCACCCACAGATTAGTTTGATTTTGCAGCATCACAGCTTTGCCCACAAAACACAACCCCCTTTTGCTGGACACATGTCACGACACGAACACAGACACCTTCCAGCCCACCAAGCCCACACTCACAACTGCCTGCACACCCCAAAAATCACCAGACCCTTTCCAGCAGCTGGATGTGCTGCAGCTCAGCCTCTCGGGTTTTTCCCACTATAAATAAGGGCAGCAAAGCTGCTGGCCAAGAGCAACAACTCCACAGGAAAGGGACACAATACAGGCCCCTGCTCCACCTACTGCCCTGGAGTCCCTGGAGAACAACACAAGAAGGACACGGAGGTGGGAAGGGACACACACACACACACACAAAAGAAAAAGCCACAACACCCAACTGAAAGAAAACCACTTCTGAAGCAGAACCAGAGCACGAAAACACTAATCTGGGGACTGTCAATCCTGATGCTGCAGTTCTGGGGGTATGTGATGGAACATGAGGGAACACTTACAATCAGCACAGTCCAGCCCTGCCTGCAAAAAAATAAATCAGCGCACACACAAGCTAAGTGAAGCCAGCTGGTGCCTGCTCATGGCAGGATTTACAGAGCCACAACCCCTTCTAAAGGCAGGAACACCCGAGATCCATCGCAGAGCTGCGTGGAAAAAAAATCCTACAGGGGAAAAAAAGAGACACCCCCCCCAGCCCTGCCCGACACCACACACGGCAGGCCGGGGTGTCCTGGTTCAAACTGTGCCCCTGGGTCTTGTTTTGGAGCCTCCAAGTCAGACGTTGTGGAGTTTGGGAGAACAACAGAGCTCTCAGTCAGCTTCGGAGAAGCCTGCAGGACCTGCCTGCAGAACAGACAAAGCCCCGTAGGTAATGTGGAAAGTTCAGCCAAGAATCCCATCTCCCCAGGGCAAGAGACTGGGGAAGGAATTTTAGGGGAAAGCTGTTTTGCACATAGCTAGTAATGTATCTGCTGTGTCCTACAAGTATCCACTGAGGATACGGGCCCAGATGTGAAAAAGCAGATAGATTCCTGTCAACACACTGGGAAGAGCACGTTCAGGGCAGGGAAAAAAATAACAAACAGGGAAAAAAAATGAGTTGTTTGATGGAGTTCTACCTGCAACCCTGCAGTGCTTCCCAGCAGGAGATCTCAGATCCCAGCCAGGGTCAAGCACAGGGAGCCACAGCCACAGGCTCATGAGGAGCCTGGGGACAGGCTGCAACACAGATGGACCCCAATATTCCAGTCTGAGCACACATGAAATGGGAAAATCACTGAAAAATAGGGAAGAGAAGAAAAACCAAGGGAAGCCAGAGAATATTTCAGCAGGAGGATCTCAGTCATGTGAGAAGTGATGGAGGAAGGAAAGCCAGCCCAGCATTCCGGGCTGTGGAAAGGCAAGTGCCATGGAAGGGCCACTGTGCTAACCAGCCTGACAAACCCTTTCCAAAGCTAACTTACAGCCATTCCAGACTCTACCCCAAATTCCTGAGCCTTCCAGCTCTGTACAGGTCTCTCCTCTCCCTCATGGAACTCCAGATTTCCCACAGTGGGGGTTGATGGGTTGTATTTTTGTCTAAATCAGCCCCATAACAGAAAGCCCCTCACTCTGAACCAGTCAGAAGCTGGTGCCAGCCAACATTTATTTGAAAAGGCAAGATTAATTTGGCATCTGAGCTGCTTTTAAATAATAAAAAAAATCCCCAACCCTGGCTTCATAACAGGAGAGAAATTGGGTGGAAAATAACACACATGATGTCAGCACCAATCTGTGATTTTCTGCAGGGTGGGTAGGTGGAAATGGAGGTAAAAAAAAAAAAAACAAACCCAAAAAAGCATTTCCAGCTCCCAGAAACCCCAGAGGAATTGTCTGGATGTTTAGAGGCACTTTCTTCTGAGACCAGAGCATTAGCCCTCGAGTTGTACATGTAATTTTAACAAACAGTATTCACTGTGTTCAACGGAGCGTTCCCAAACTTCACCAGGCAGGCACGAGCGCCTGCCAGGCACAGGCTGTGCACTGAATGCGGATCCCAAGTGCCATCAGAGGCGTTTTTCCCTCACCTTTCCAAGCAGAGCAGTGCTGAAGGCAGTCAAACCACGCTGCCTTCACATCCATCCCTCCCCTGCTCTGAGGAATGTCACTGCTGTGCTGCTGCCACCCAAGGTGTCAGAGTGCTGCACTAAGCAAAGGAAGTTATTAAAAGTAAACTCAGCCCTCGGGTCCAGGGATTAATGAAGAGCCCTCAGCACACTGGGATGTCTCCGTTTCCAATTAGAGGGAGAACAAGCAGCATTCCCCCACCACGGTCCCCTCGGAGCAGCCGGGGAGGAGCAGGGACATGAAAGGACGAGCCGAAACTGCGGGAGACACACGATACCCCCCGAGCAGGGAGGGTGGGGAGAGCCCACATGCGATTTTTACTCCAGGCAGAACCTCTTCCAGCAGTTCCTGCAGCCCAGGTCTGGCTGTCAAAGCAAATACCATCCCGGGGTGGAGTTTCGCTGCCAGAGCTGCAACCACGCAGGTGAACACGGGGAGGTTTCACAACGACCTTCAGATTGATCACTTGGATCTTGCCTCGCTGTTCCCTCGCCTGTGTTACAACTGCTCCGAGGCTCCTGCTGAGTGTCAAGTGTTGGACAACAACACAGAAACACTCGGGTTTGCTGGTTTGCAATCAGTTCTATGTTTCTAAAAACAGTGAGGCAAGAGGGGGAGACAGGCACACCACATACTCCTTTGGAGCGTTGAGCTGCCCAAATCTCCTCCTAAACCATCCTTTTGCTCTTGGTAGAATAAAACTCCACAGGTTACTGAACATCCCAAGATGCCAAGGAAGCAATTCCCTCCTCGATCCCTGCTGGGATTCCTTTTGTCCAGTTGTTCTGCTGACAGGAGAGCCCTGCACTCTTCCTTTTCCCATCCCTAATTACACAGGGACACAGACATTTAAAGCCCTCTGTTGTGAAGCAATTATGACACTCGGTGCTAATGAGCGGGTGGGTCGGCAGCTGTAGGTGAGATTTACTGATCTGTATTCAAATAACCTCATTGTTCAGTGATTGTTCACGTTAGATAGCGCTCACACCCCCTCCAAAAAGGGCCTTCCCTTCCATCCACCGCCCGTTTCCAGCTCAGACCTCCAAGGAATGGCACGGAGAGGACATTTCTTGGCTGTGAAGGCAGAGAATCCACCTCGCTGAGGCTGTGCCTCCTCCTGCTCTGCTCCACAAGGTACAGGAGGGTCCTTAAGCTGCTTTGCAATGCAAGGGGGAAACTTCTCCTTATCCGAGTCATGCCCTGGGAACCCGGGAAGGAACGGCAGTGCCGTGCTTGGGGAAAGAAACGGGGCCAAAAAAAGGGGAACAGGACTCTGAGGGAAGGGTGGGAAGCATCAGGATGCCCTCACCCAACCCCAGCCCTTTCTCAGCACCAACGCTGTGTCCAAGAGACCAGCCTCACCCTCCCCGCAGTGCCAGGCTGGAAAACCTGCTTTAAATACATGGAAGAGGTTAAATGAGGTCACACAGGCCTGGGTGAAGCCAGCAGTGTCCTCATTAGAAGGTCAAGAGCTTCCCAACTGGCAGGTCCCTAAGGTGCCCCCATGCCAAAGCACGACCTTGTTTAACCTTTCTGGAAGTCACAGTAGCACACGCTTTGGAAAAGCAACCCTGGAGCAGGGAGAGCACCACAGAGCCCACCCTGACAGCAGCATGATGTGCTTAATGTTTCAGCAGAGCCCTGGCTGAGGAAAAATCCAGAATACAATATCTGCTGCAACTTCAACACGGCCCGGAGCACTGAGATCCCAGGACCCAGCCGGTCCAGGGATGGAGCAATTCCCCGGCTGCCTCCCGACCAGAGAGCCTCCTGCCATTTCAGATCCACCCTCCCAAACACTTACACTGCCCTGATCCCCTTCCATCCAAACAAGCAGGTGAATTTGAGCTGTTTAAACAGCACATTTGTGTTAACCCAAAATGTTTAGACTGAAATAATCCCGGGAAACGTCACAAAGTTGGCACAGCCTGGACAGACAGGAAGGCAGGAAGCACCAGCAGTGCCAAGCGGCTCGGGAGGCAATTCCCCATTGGTTTGCTTGGCCAGCTGGTCCTTCCAACCCTTCCCTCATGACACATTTACACTTAAATCTTGCTGTTAAATTGCAGGTGGGGAAAAGCTTTTCTCCTCCTTGTGGTGTTGAGCTACCCCAGTCGGGTTGTTCTGTCTCCCAGAGAAACCATTTCAGTGGAAGGAGCTGGAAACCCACAGTTGGCCTCTCACGCCGCCTGTGGTGATGTGTCACCTGTTCCCAAAGCTCCTGTCAGTAATGGGGCTGCCATTCCCATTAAACAGGGCGAAGCTTTCA